TCCCTTCGAGTTATAATCTCCTTTTTCCAATATGCATTAACTGCAATTAATGCTTGGTGGAAATTAACTCTTACTCTGGAATCAGGTGCACTAAGGTCCTCTGCGCCGGAGCATTTTAATTTTTTCGCTACTTGACACTCGTCAAGTTAATTTTCGGCTGTCACTGTGTTTTGTGCCAATTCGGCAGCAGTTTTCAGTTTAAAATAGATAGGTAAAAATCGAGATCCGGAAGGCTGTCTGGGCGGAATTGAAAATTCATGCACACTTTTACGGAAAAAAAACAGTAGTGTCTTGATTTACACAACTAACTAAATGAAAAGAAAATTCTGAACATTCCGCGGGCATTTCGGTGTACCATCACTAAATTTTTGAACGAGATCCGAATGAATCTGTAAAACGTAAAATATGAATTTTTAAACTACAATTATATAACTGGCGATGGCGTTTTAGCTATTGAGCTGGCCAAATAAGTCTTCAATATATTTAGCAAAGCCAAAAAAACCAAAAAAAAAATATTTATTTCTTCATTTCAATGCTAGTATTCCATGTAAAACTGAATATTAATGAAATATCTTACACACTGAAAAAATAATAATAAAAAATCTCAAAAAAGCAAAATCGCTACAGCGAAAAAATGGTGAAAAGCCGCATTAATTCAAAAATTAATTTTAATTAAAAAGAGATCTAAGTGAGATCTAAATAAGGCACAAACCTCACGAGGTATGCTAACGAACATTAAAAGAAGGAAAGTCGCTTACTTCGGACATATAACTAGAGACAACAAATACGATTTTTTTTTATTTAACGTTGCTTCCATGTTATATGCAAATATAAGGAATAGCATTTAAATGAAATGTAGAAATTATCTTTGACACATTTTAACACATGATAATTTAAGGAAATTTAAAAATAGCATCCCTGTGCCCTCGGATTTGTTATGTGCTCTTTTAGAATTTTTTACATGGAGTATCTGAATTTATGCGATTTTTGAAAATGCTGAAACGCATCCCCTGTTTTTGTATGAAAGTAAAGAACTTTTTTTATGCAGCTTTCTGAGGAACGCATGTATCGCATAAAAAAAGACCTAAGTGTACGTTATTTAATATTTTGCCAGTCCAGCTTATTTAAAATTCTTCTTCGCTTCTAGTCGGTGTACAGTTGAGGTTTTCAAATGCAAGCATCGCAATCGTTTAAAGTGTCGACCATAAGAATCATTTAAAAACTGTGCCTTAACTTAATTGGTATGTCCCGGCGTGTCAGTAGTTTATAAATTTTCATGAAGGCCGCTTTAGCTATATCTATTCTTCCGATTTAGCCCATGGTCGTGGTCCTATTTGTCGTTCAACTTGTCGTTTTTTACTTTTTCTATTGTCTTGCCTTTAGCTCCTGAAATTATCTATTGGCTAATTATTGACCAATTTTATCCCAATTTTTACAGTTTAAGCTTGATTTGTCGTTGTCGAGAAACACATACGCATACATATGTAGATAAGTCGCCTATTGACTCTGGTTTCTCAATAGGAAATTTTATACATTATTAACTTCCCAATAAACATTTGGCTTGGTGAGCAATTCGAAAATAATTGGAAGACGAATCTTTTTTCCAAGCCTCACCATCGATGATGAATGTGAAATAGGTTAGTACTCGATTCGAGAACTAGACCATTCTCTAGCATAACGGATCCTTCGTTATCCAATGTAATTTATTTTCTTTATGAATTCAGAGAGAGTGATTGTCTTATATTTGTCCTTCAAGAATAAGCTGGATTTCACTTTCTCTCTTGTTACTATGGTTTTCATTTTTTTTTTTTACCCATTTTGAGTATATGTATTTCCAATATGCTATGAACGTTGGAAAACTAAGGTTCTCGGTTCGATATGCATATTGGATATCGAAGGTCATTTTCGAATGTTCGCCACAATGTTTATTGGGTATTTATGGTTTTCATTGTTTATCTGTAATTTAGTCTGTAGGGTAGTAAATTATAGGCGGAATATTTAAATTTAAATTAAATACCTTATCTCAATGCGAAATCTGCAAAATTTAAAATTATTCAAAGTTACTAATCTGTTTCTGTACATCTAAAACCCCCTACTAGCGCAGCCCGTTATATTTTATAATTCTTATCGCTTTAAAATGTTTTTTAAATACAATTGGTAACCTTTTTTATTTTCCAAAGTGATAAATCATACAAAAAGGTTGCTTAATTAGGTACTTAGGTCTATCATAAAAGGATTAATATATCGTTATAAATGGATGTTTTCATTTCATTTGCATACCTTTTATATTATTCCAAATTATTAGTTTCTGTAACTAAATGTTGGGCTTTTTTCCATTGGCTTTCCATTCTTTGTAAAACTGTTTGAACTTGCGCCATAAATCTCTCTTCATTTTCAACTTCATTGCTGATTTCTACATATTTTTCGTTCTCCACTTTAAGGGACTCAACCATTATAGAATTCTAACCCCATAAACGTTTGACTACATATTTTATGTAAAATTTATCTTTTTAACATACCTCTAAAAACTGTTGCTTCATTTCAGCTATTCTTTTATCAATCTCCTGCTCATCCGATTCATTATATTGCTTAGTATGACCGTAGTCACTAGCTAACAAAACATATTCTGGTATAGAGAAGTTCTTCCGATCCATTTCCTCAATATGTAGCAAATGTTTTTCCATAGCATCGAGCATTTTGCTCTTTACAATATCCTTCTGTTTTAATAAGAGATCTTTTGTTTCGCTATTGTTCATAGATAACTTATCCAACATTGATTGCAAAGTGAGAGACAGGATTTTATTTAAATAATGGCGCCCTATATTGCAGTTTAAGTTTTCGATTATCAAAGTGCATAGATATATGTATAATGCGAACTTACTTTCAAGTGAAAACTGTTCCACCGAGAAGTTAAAATGCTGAATCTCGTATTCACTATTATCCATTACGCCTCCGGTTTCAGAAAAATATAATCGAAAAATTAGATTTACTAGCTTCCTCGCACTTTACAAAATCAAATATGATATAGTACGTTCAGTGAATGATAAAACCCACTGCACCCAGTGGTATGTTTAATTGGAGATAAATTAACAGAGTTGCTTTTGTACTTGGAGTGTTCACAGTTCTTTCAAACTGTTTCCAAAAATGTAAAAGTAGAAAACGTATTACTAGAGAACGTAAAGTAGTAAAACGTAAAAGCCATCAGCATTTCATGTCTAACAAGAAAAATATGCATTTGCTTTGATGAGACAATTTCTGTTAAATGTATTTTGCCTCTGGCTGGGCTCTGTTAAAATTCGATTGACTCTGGCTGGCCGCTCTCAAAATGCGCTTCGCCAGTTTTGTTGGTATTTGACAGTTTCCACGCTGATTTGTTGTTGGTCCTTCTCTATAAATTTACGTTCTCTGGTATTACGTTCTCTGGGCGAATTTATACAAGGTGGTGTTGTAAAATCAGCTGATTTCTTCGCTTTACATGTATTTGGTTTTTGCTTTTACTGATTTGACAGCGCACCCATTCAATTCCTCTTGGATGTAACCAGAAAAGTTTGCAAACGAAGCTGGTAGGGACACGATATCGAACCGAAAGTATCGATATGGTACTCATTGAAAGTATCGCTGGAAAAATATCGGGTACCCATTAATATCGGAATAAAAAGACTCGATATCGCAATTATCGATACCGAAATCTAAAAAGAAAAGAAATATCTGAAAAAGTGATTAAAAACCTCCGAGCGTATTTCTGCCATGAAAAACAGCTTCTCATAAAAACGCCCTTTGTGGCACAACATCAAGGCGCACGCATCAAATCGGAGGAAAAGCTCGGCCAAACGCTAACATATTTTGTAAGCGCCAACTTTTATTTAATTCAATTTCGTGGTTCTTTAAATGGGAGGTATCTGCACTCTTCCCCTTTCTTCTCACTTCCTTCGCCTTGGAACGAGCAGACTTGAAAGCAAGACTTGACGTCCTGAAAGCTGACTAATTTGAGTTTATGACATTCGATACGATACTAGGATTCTGGTACTCGATTCCAAAAAATATCGTTTTAAAACTATCGAGTAAAAAATATCGGTATCGAATGCCAAAAGTATCGATATGGTATCGTATCGTATCGAAATTCGTGTCCCTAGAAACTGATATAAACTCCAATTAGAAATAGTCATGGCCATGGAAAAGGAACCTTTTTCAGAATTGACCATTGCTGATTCAATAGCCATCAAAGTATTGCCAGGAGGTGCAATACTTACTGGTAATTATAGAGTTTATATTTAATAATATTACCTTATAATAAACTGTTCTTGCAGGTGTGGGAAATGAATTACATCTTTATGCACCTAAAGTCGGACGTCGCATGCTTTCGCAGAGGTTGCGCGCTAAAGTACATGGTATCGCCAATGCACAGCTAAACACCACATGCTCCCAACACGGAAGGCTAATTGTATACGGTGAAAAGGAGTGTATGTTATTACAATATGTATATGTGAAAGAGGAGGTGCTTAATTAATGGACGAAATTCATATTTATGTTTATATACTTTTTTGTAGTACAATTTTTCAGAACTTTATCATTTCCATCTTACTGATTGGATAAGCTCGGCTAGTTTCTTGCAAGACCCCAATGAATTTATCCTTCTTACGTCGCATAGTGTAGCCCTACGCATTTTGTACAATGAGAATGACGAAAAGAGAAATTTCTGTCGAGTTATAGCGAAATCATCTGCTGAGGATAAATCAACTCTTTATTGTACTCATATTCACGGACAGACTTGGGAGGAACTGGTAATTTTTGGAGGTCAGTGAAAATGTTAATGAATTAATAAGAGTGCATATATTTCACTTCAGTATTACTTAATATATTAAGGGACCGCATTTGGGGAGCTTCTCATATGGAAACCATTTGTTGAAGGGGATGCTTCACGTAATGATAGCTGTACTGTATTTGATGTGGGATTAAAGCGACGACAACAAGCACATAGTGGTGTTGTTTTCTCTATTGACTTTGATGTTACATCTGGTATACTCACTACGACATCAGATGATCGATCAATACGATTCTGGAAATTACAGAATACATCTCCGGATAATTGGAATGGATTCAACCTCACGGCAATAGCTAGCGGTTATGGTCATGTTGCTCGCGTATTCCAAGGAAAAATTATAAATTTTTGTGAGTTAGCAACTTTGTTACTACTTAATTGATGCTCGCATACTCGCATCAAATTAATTTTATTGTGCTTCTTTGTAGATGAGCAACAGTTTGGCGTGACTGTAGGGGAGGATTCCTATGTTTGTGTTTGGAAAACTAATGGTGAGTTAGTGTTCAAAACTCGAGTCCAATTCGGTGCAGTGATTTGGGACTTCGAATATGACAAAAACACGAACACGCTCTATACTGTCGGTTCCACCGGAAATTTAGTGGCGTTTAATCTTAACGATGTTTTAAAAAACAAAGCAGACATGTCTGCTGCTGAAACAGTATTGACTGGCTGCGAGCCAAAAGAATATATAGCCAAAGCGAAATTTTTCGACGTTAATATGCTTATCGGTGTAACAAACAATAGTCGCCTCATGCACACATCCCTTAAATTGAAAACGGAGACAAATGAACTTGAATCCCAGCCGTGGAAAGTGGTTGACGTGCCGAATTCATTTAAGTGTACTGTGCTTGAAGTACATGATAACTATATAGCGATTTGCGGCTACAAAAAGCTCATAATGTATAAATATGCTGGAGAAGGCACATTCCAAAAAATATTTGATGGTGATATCATGCACGGGGTTATACGTGCGTTTCATTTCTTAGGCAATTGTACATTTTTAATTTCTGACGATGAAGGCAACTGTTTATTACTGGAAGGCGAAAGTTTTCAGCATCCGATTGCTGTGCCCCTGCCACATTGCAAGGAACCTTGGACTACGGCAGCGTTGCGCATTCAAACACTAAAGAGAAAAGAATTCCTAATAATTAGTAATCGCATGGGAAATATATTACTGTTCAGTCTGGACGTTGCAACTGCCATTTGTTCGCTCCTTGACACTCTCCGTCAGCCACATGGCGCATTGGGCGCAACAATGCTTCGCGTTCAAGACCTGTATGAGGAACTAGTTTTTATACAAAGCGCTGGTCACGATGGCTCTTTGCGATTACTATGCGTTGAAATCGGAACTGGCACAATCGCTTCACACCAACGTATGCTAGTACCAGTGGCTTGGGTAGAGCGTTTTATTGCCATCGAAACCTTAGATTTTATTCTAGGATTTAACGATAATCATTTTGTCGTGTGGTCTCAACATCACGACTTTTCGGTACAAGTACCGTGTGGTGGCGGACATCGCAGTTGGCATTACCAAATTAAATCAGATATTGATAATACAAGATTTTTGCAGCTGCTCTTCATAAAAAATAAAAAATTGCGACTGCATGAGTATAAATTATATAATGATCCTGCAATAAGTCAGAAATTATTTCGAAATCAGTGGCATACACGTTCATGTAACGCATTGCAGTTGATTAAAGCATCCAGCCATAATGTAGGGCTTACGGTTCTTGTAAGCTGCGGCGACGATAACATGGTAAAGGTATCCAAACTAATGCCTGGAGGACGCCTAGAGCAAAGCGCGGAAATTCAAACACACATTTCCAACGTGAGAGCATTGCAAGTAATACCAATGCACTCGGATATTGCCTTAATTGTTTCGGGCGGCGGACGCGCGCAATTGTGCATAACGCAATTAAATTTGAAAACCTTTCGTATCAAAGACCTTTTAAATTACACTCTAAATAGGAGTGGGCTAATCAAAGGATTAGTAAAGTGCTATCGACCAGATCCAGAGACACGCATAATGGCATGCGCCGTTGTCGAAGCAAATAAAAACAATTCAAGTATTGATACTGGTTACGCTATATTTCTGGGTTGCTCTGATGGTTACTTACGCAAAGTCCTTGTTGACGGCTCCTTTGGAGTAGTCTCTGAGGTTTTCTTATATTATGGCCACTGTTTGCTTCAAATGCGAGCGTTCGCAAACTCTGTAGTGGTAACCGCGGGTACAGATGGAAATCTACGATTCTTCGATTTAGAATTGATTGAGTTACCCATTAATTTGCAACATCATGACAGTGGAATAAATGCTATGGACATACAGTTTGAACCAAAAACTGGTGTACTGCATTTGCTTACCGGCGGTGATGACCAGTCTGTTTCCTATACCTCCTTAAATTTGGAAGACTCTAAAAAATTGCGTGTTATAAATAAATATCACTTCGCTAATGCCCATTTGGCGCAAGTGACCGCAGTTAAACTTTTTTTTAATGGCAACAAAATTTACGCGTACACTTGTGGCTTGGACCAAATAATTAATATGGTTGACATACAAACTCAGCGGATTGAACTGATTGGACATACGTGTATATCGGACCCGAAAGGTCTGGTTTTAGATAATTGTAAACGTTTCTTTGTTTATGGGTGTGGAATTCAAGTACTCAAGTTCAAGAGGTAATAAATAAAAGAGACATTTTAATAATAGTGATGACAAAAAAGGTTTTATGTTACATCTGCTATATTTTTTTGTTGCGATTGAACATGCTTTGAAAAAAAAACATTCTGAGAATGCAGAATCTCCCATTATGCAGAATAGTTTCTAGGCAGAGAGTTAAATATGTACTTTACATTACGTAAATTGGGTCAATGTCCCCGAACTCTTAATCTCGTTGTTCCAAAAACTCTTAACTTGGTTTCGGAACGCATGTTCTTTGTCAGCACCATAAAATTTGGAGCTCCCTACCGTCTGACATTAAAAATATAAAGCAAGCAAGGTGTTTTAAAATTGCAGTCTCTACGTTTAACTTCTCAGCTTCTCTTTGATATTCAACTAAGTTAAGTACTTACTCTTGTTTATAATGCACTATGATTCTTTTGCTTAAAATAGTATCTAATAATAAGTTTAAGTTCAGTTAGTTTGTAAGTAGCTTGTTCAGAAGGAATATTGTAAAAGAAGATGTACTACTAAAAGACTTAGACTTATTTTGTACAAAAGTTGTATAACTAAATTTAAAAAAAAAAAATGCCAATTAAAAAAAAAGAAAATGTAAGCTGAAAAATGGTGCAGCTTAAAATACACGGATTTCAGTATTTTTCCAAATGCGATGTAAATTTTAGTGCTCGGCTAAAGTATTGAGAAAGCTCAGTTCGACTTATGGATATAAGGAGTCCATTGTCTTCTTCGATTTCGGGCAACACAATTATGGTGAGCCCTTATATCAAGTGATGATGATCATCACTAGAAGACGTTCTACTTCCTTTTTGTAGTATACACAAACAATTCCAGCTATTTAAATATTGATCGGTTAATTATTTGATGAGCACCCGATTGTCAAATTTTTGTTCCTTGAACGCTTATTGTACATAGGCAGAGTCAGCAAAATTTTTCGCGTAGAACGTGATGGTCTTTCATAAAAAGTAACACTGCCGCATTAATTGCAGCTCGAATCCACCCTTCATCAAATTAATCAAACTTCCAAAAATGTACAAATAGTTCAAACTTTTTATCAAAAATTTTTATAAATTTTTCGATTATGCAGTTACGTCATTCAATTTTAGCGAAACAAAGTTCGGGTTTCAAGTCACTTGCATATAAAAAAAAATTTTGTTCATACAAAAAAAAACGGTAATTTTTAGTGGCTTGGAGCTCTTGCATTTATTATACTAAAATTTAATGGGCTACAAAACTGCAATTTAAAAAATTTGTAGAAAAAGTTTGAAATCTTGATAACAATTTTTTGAAGTTTGATTAATTTTGGTGAATTTTATAGAAAGTTTGCAAGATTGGATTTTATGGTTTTTGTTATAGAATGAGCTATATTTTAAATAAAAATTAACGACAAAGAATTACGATGGAAAACGTTTTGAATATTGTGAGAAAACTACATTACGAATTATTCTGCGAGTGACATATCTGCGAGCATACATATAAGTAATTTCGGTAAATACAACTTAGGTAGCACTGCTTTCGTCCTCCTCGAATCCAATTGGAATTTTCGGCTCTGCCAATGCGTAGGCAGTTGTAACAAGGATATTGGACTCCAGGTGTTCCATATTGCCCTCTTTCGTATTGCGATAATCTAATAATAGTTCTTTGAAAGTTTCAAAGCTGCTGAACGAATGTAAAAGTTCAAATATCTCGCCGTTACTTATTAAATCATCAAAAGCATTATTTTTTCTTTGTGGAAAAAAATAAAAATAAATTAGATGGTTTCCCTTTTTTATGTGATAGTAGATAAATACTCAAGTTCTTCGGCAAAGCGATCCATATTGAAATCAGACATTCGAGAGCTTAATTCATTAATAAGGAATGCCTCAAAGGTATTGGTGTACTCTTGAAATATATCCATGTACTCCAGTTTATTTTCGTCGGTATTTTCAATGCAACGCCAATATTTCTCCAGGAAGTTATTGTGAAGTGTCTATGTGCATACGTAAGTACACATATTTTATGTTTGCAGTGTGGTCAATAAAAATATAAAATGAAAAAATCCTTACAAGAGCAGCAAATATAAATTTGTATAACCTGAAAATCTTCACCAAGCACTATGTCTTCTATGTGGCCGATAACATCGTCAAAAAATTCATTTCCATGTGATTTGCCGACTATATCAATGCATTCGTCCGATGCTGTTGCATCCATTCCAATAAAATAATTCAGCAAGATATATCTTATTTTTTTTTATAGTTTTAATAAAACTGATTTATTTACGATTTTCGTTCAACTGGTTTTGACAGCAATACCCTTGCTTATTTGTATTGTTTGGTTTATCGTTGCCATAGAGCTTGAACTTTATTATCAAAGTGGAGTGAACATGTTGTCCTGTGCGCGTGCATACGTACATATTTATGTATGAAAGCATAAGTAAGGCTTTGTTTTATATTATAATGCCCAGCTAGCCAAATCGGAGCGCTCCAAATATGAAATGATACCTCGAATACCTCGAATGAATGCTTCCGGAACATTCCGAATATGGAGTAAAAAGGGAGTTCAAGGTGTTTTTTTGTTATCTGGTTTTTCTTTTCTTTGTATCTAGTCTGTATGATGGTCTATTATCGGAAACACTCCGTCTAAGCTATCTTCGGATTATTTAAGGAGTCCTTTTCACAAAATGATAGGCGAATTATCTGAGGGAGCTTTCTGGTGCTCTGAAATCACGTATTTAAGGAGTCCTAAAGGCACGCTTTTTTCATATATGTACATATATTGAGAGGGCAAACTCCGGCAAATATGATCCTTTCGGAGCCTACCAAGGAACATAAGCGCACCGCACAGGGAGTCCTAATGTATTACGAAATTGTTTTGTATGTGTATTATTAAGAAAAATAACGCAAGTTAATTCTACTTGTTTCTTTAACTCGGTTCAGTGCATAGTGTAATAAGCAAAGTGAAATCAATATATGACATATTTATTTTTTATACGCTTATATGACAAGGGTTTTGTCATTGCGTTAACCCATTTGAAACTAGCAACATTACAAATTAATTTCAAAAAAAAAAAAATTAGATGTCAAATCAAAAAATACTTGTTTTAGAAATTAAAGAACAAAGAGAAAAAAATGCATTTAAAATGCTAGATACTTTGTTTATTCAAAAGCACTCACAACAATCAGGTAAGTATGTTTCGAGTGCCAACAGATGTTACGCAAGGAAGGGATTGGATGAATGCGTGTGGTGTTAAACTAACTGGATGTCGAAAGTTTGCGCTCTGCACTTCAAATGGAATGATATCGTTTATGCAAGTACCAATGCCAAGAGAAGACGCCTCGATCCAGATGCAGTACCATCAAGGATATTACCTGCTATTTCATCAGATGAGAAGTAATGTTTAAAGTGTGGGTATGTTCTCAAATGCATTAGTGCAAAGGCATATCGTGCAGTGCGCCAAACAGATGTGAAGTATCGCATAAAATTTATACTTTCGCCAATTTAGTTAGATGGTCCTGATTTGTAGTAATTAATTTGAGAAAGAATCCTTAATCTTAATGTGTATATATATACATATGTATATAGGGAAATCTTTTGAAATGGGGATATTCTGCGTACCGGCATATTGTTTCCGAGACAAAGCAGCTGCACTGCCAAGTGCTTTTTCTGTACGTTCGTCAATACTATTTATATGTGTAAATATTAGTAAATAGTTATTCAAAAAAAAAATATGGTTTAATGACTAATTTATTTGCTAAAATCGAAAAAAACAGGAAATTTCTATCGCAACTCCCATAAATTCTGAAAAAAAAAATTATTGAAAAACACCCTACCACAAAATTTGGTTGAACAACGCCCTATCTCAGAAATCGGTTCCAAACCAAAGCCGAAAGAGGGTTAATGTAAGCAAATATACGAATTGTTTACATTTAAATTTTCAAATGAGCGTACGTCAAATATTGATTTCACTTTGTTTATTACATTATGGGTCAGTGCATCAAACGTGGCTATGTAAACGTACTAGGGTGGGTCAAATTGTTCCGGTGGGGAAAAAATGCGAAAGGCGTATAGCAACGCTAGCTATATCTACGCTAAATTTAAAGAAAATTTCCCAAAAACCTAAACCTAAATTCTAGACCGCGCCGGGAGGCATAGAGATTTCAATTTGATTTTGATGTATTTTAAAAACGCTGCACAGATTTGTATGTCTCTCGGCGGGAGCTAGGTTTTTATTTTAGACCCATAGTTTATTGCGCAAGTTTTCTTATAATTCTCCGTAGATTACGCTTTTGCTATACGCATTTTGACAAAAAAAAGTGGTCCAAAATCAGTAGTCTGAATTTGAATGCTTTCTCCACCTAGGATTGTTCTATACCGAAAAATATACCCCTATTTTTTATTTTAAAATCAAAAAATATTTAGAGGTCGCTCAAATTTTTCCTTGTATTTTATATGAGGGAAAAACTAACTTTTCGTAGAAATGGTATAGAATTCTTGAAAATTGATACCCAATTGTTTATTTAACAATTTTTTAATACTGAGAATATTTATTTATCACCCTCCCCATTGAATTTTCTGGGGGTTTAGGCGGACCTATGTATAAAATATAGTTCATATGAAAAAATGGTAAAGTAAATATTTGTCATGTTATTGTGGCTTATTAACATTTTATTTTTAATATTTTTATTGATCTTTGTACCACGATTGTTTATTAGGAAAAATTGAAAAAGCAAAAAAGTCTAAGCATTTTCCGATCAAAAATTATTGATTTTCGAGAACTCTATACCATTTATACGAAAAGTGGTTTTTCCCCCATAAAAATACATGGAAAACTTTGAGCGCTTTGAGCGATCTCTAAATATCTTTTGATTTCAAAATAAAAAATATGGGTACATTTCTTTTGGTATAGAACAAACCTAGAGGGTGAGAGTTTAAAAGTTCCGACATTACTTTTTCACTTTACTTTTTTTTTTTTGGACCACCCTAATGTACATATGTATACCACAAAAACTTTGTCACTGGTTTCTTTTTAGTTAAGGTCTGGTAAGGCTAAATATTAAGTGATAAAATGACAGCATCTTTTAAATCTAAGATAAAATAAAGAATGCTCATCATTTACTCTTTTCAATCTTCATAACAAAACACAAGATCTCAAAGATCGAATTTTAAATTCGCTTTAAACATGTATCTTACTGTATGACTTCATAATTTTTCAGTTCGAATCATTGCTTTTCTTTAGTCTTTTGTGTTGTATTCACGTCTTCTAGTTTGGCTGCTGCACGTTCTGCCTTATTTTTTTCATACAACTGCATTAATTCTCGTTTACTGGGCATTGGTTTAATATGGCCAGCTTGGACGAGGTATTTTATGGATACCGTTGTACCACCTAAAAATATTAGATAAAAGAAGGTTAAACAAAGAATTAGGTAATGTATTACGAAATTTTTATACATATTTTTGTATGTATATATGTATGTAGGTAGCTAATTTTGAAATCCCGCAATTGTAGATCAACAGGGCTCTCAGATTATTATACATATAAGCCTTTCCATATTTTAAAATCAGTATTCATCGCATCTTAATAATGAAGCAGAGCAGACTGCTAGAGGGCAACTGGGCCTTTAATTCTTTAATAAATGTGCTCTCTAAAAATGGCACTTTTTTCGAATTTATTCTTCCATCATACTAATTTACTTACCTAAAGTGACTGCATAACGTAGAGGGGTCGCTACTTTATAGCAGAGATAAGCAATAGCATAATGGCCCATGCTCGAGTTTTGGAAACGTTCCACGATGCTCTCGCTAACATGTAAATGTTGTAACAGTAAGGGGATATCCACGCCACTAAATTGAAAATTGTCAAAGAATACAAATTTGAAAATACATATTGAATTCCACTATCACCTTTTGGACAAATAATAGAAACCTCCAAACCAACCGATTGATGTTACAACATGAACAGGTATAAGCACATACCAATATTTTTTATACATCAATTTGAATTTGGCAAATAGGCCAAGCTTAGAGGCTTCACCAAAAATGTCTTCATCTGCTAGAACGGGAGATGATTTTGTGTCGGTTTTGCCTGCTAAATCCGGCGATTTCTTTGTACTAAATGAATGGCGACTGCTTACGAATGGTGCTAGTGACATGCACTGTATTGTGCCGGGCAAGTTTAGCAAAGACCTCGATCTTGTCTTGGCTGCGCCCAGAACTACCAGCTGTAGGCGCTGATGCTGTTGCGCAAGTCGGGTAAGCAACCTCAGTGACGTCATTTCTTTAAAGGCTAACTTTTAATGGTTATCAATTTGTTTTGAGTTTAATTCAATTATTTTATATGGTTAATAAATGCCTTACATTTCCTCAAAAATATACCTGGTTGACCGGCGATATGCAATCAGCTGTTTATTCCATTCAGTGTTAACATTTCAATAGTTTTTTGCCCTTTTGTTTCAACACCAAATGAAATACCAAGGCGCATCAATTACAGGTGATAGCGATAGAAGCTATGCTTCTTCTTATGAGCACGCTTGTGTCAAATTATCGTCTGTTTTGCTTTATTTACATATCCGCGTATACATACACATATACTTATATGTATACCCTGCAAACAAATGCTCCCGAAATCTTTAAGAGTGTCGGAAATTTGTTACGATTCTTTTAGAAATCTATAAAGAAAAACATATGAAGCGGTCGACAAGAACTAGTAAAGAAATTTCTGTACGATTTCTTAAAGAAAATTCTTAAAAAAATTGTTAAACCTTTCAGAATTCTATGAAATCCTGGTATGCAGGGTATACATATACATACGAATATGGATAGATAAAGAAGATGTGGATGACACAAGGAGTTCATACCAACGGTAAATTTTGTTTTTGTACGATTGCTACAACCTGTAGTTGTTGAATCATGATGAAATACGTAAAAGTTCAGCCCCATGAATGAACGAATAGAAATCACCCAGGACGGAAAAAATCTACTTGGGCGTATTCATAGTCAAAATGAACAGGCTAAAAGCAGAAACAGACGGCAGCGTTGATCTGGATCAACTCGGGAATTAACTGCAGTTGATCCGGATTAAGTCCGAATGTAGGAGCCAATAGAGCTTTAAATACTGATTCAAATGAAAGATGTATATATGTCGGTTCACCATAATACAGAGAAGCTCGTACTTGTTTGAAGCATTTTTGTTCCAGCTGAATCGGACGATATCATTTTTGTAGGCAGATTCTGTAACCAATTTGCCACAATTTTCGAATCGGTATCGGTTTTGTTGACTTATGATATGTAATATTTTTACCTCAACAAGTGCGATATCATGGTATAAGGGGGAACATGTTTTCTATTTCGTTTTGTTTGCATGTTCCACATGCACTAACACAATCATGCGTAGTTCATGTATACAAAACTGAAACCTGTTTTTGGGCGACTGCCCAGCCCAGTGTGCGTTCGAGTGGTGGACTGCTCAGTCCGACTGAGCAGGCTAGTGTGCTGAGGCCCAATGATTTTAGATGCGGTACTACTGAATGTCAAAATGATGTGTTTGTTGTAAACGAGGCGAATTCATTTTACAACAAACACATCATTTTGACCAATGCGAATTTATACAAGGTGGTGTTGATGGCGAATTAAATTTTCGCCCCGGTACTACTGAATGTCAAAATGATGTGTTTCTTGTAAACAAGGCGAATTCATTTTACAAAAACACATCATTTTGACATTAAGACGTACCTCGGCGAAAATCTAAATTCGCCATCAACGCCACCTTGTATAAATTCGCCTTGATTTTGACATTAAGACGTACCTCGGCGAAAATCTAAATTCGCCATCGACACCACCTTGTATAAATTTGCCTTGAGCCACATATTCTTTTATATAAAAGTATTGCCGCTTTATTAAATGCACATTCAACATTTTTGTGTCTTAAATTTTCCATAGTGAAAATACTCGATAGTTTTGAAAAACTAACGATAGTGAAAAAAACCATAACCATCGATAGTATCGATAGTGCCATCGACAGTTTGCCATTACTAATTGTCCTTACGTATATACAGTTCATTTCTAAGTAAAATATCTTAAAATAAAAATGTCAACAGAAAATCTTACGGAAACAGCAGGGGAAAAAAAGCCTTTATTTAGAAATATTGATGCCGACGATCCTGATCCAGAAACCACGGAACTAGAGTCAGCATGTATGAATTGTTTTCGCTCTGGCCGGACACGTTTGCTGCTTACTAAAATACCCTTCTTCAAGGAGGTGGTAATAATGTCTTTTAAATGCGACGATTGTGGCTATGAAAATAGTGAGATCCAGTCTGCATCTGAAATACAGAAGAAAGGTGTGCATATAGAGTTGAGTGTAAAATGCGCTGAAGACTTAAACAGAAAAGTGGTGCGCTCTGATTACACATCTGTTAGAATACCAGAGGTCGAACTAGAAATACCGTCTCAAAGTCAGAAGGGTGAAATAACCACCGTGGAAGGAATAATCGATAGAACAATAAGAGGTCTAACTCAAGATCAGGAATCTAGAAAAAGAGAACATCCTGACGATGCGACAGCCATAGACGCATATATTGAAAAATTGACTGCTTTAAAGGAATTACAAAATAATTTCACTTTAATTTTGGAAGATATAAGCGGAAACAGTTTTGTTGAGAATCCTCGGGCGCCATCTTCAGACCCGAACTGTAAAATTCATTATTTTCAACGCTTAAAAGAGCAAGATAATATTCTCGGTAAGTAATCCCTTGTATTTCGGTTTAATTTCAGATATTCTGACAAATATACTCTTTAAATTAGGCCTTTATTCTCCAAAAAATGTAGCCAGTATCGATGAGGATGATAAAAAGGAGCCCAGAAAGGACCAA